ATATTACAATCTCTTGATTTTTTTAAATATAATTTTAAAAAATTAAACTAATTTAAACTATAAAATAAAAACCATCTAACAAAAAAAAACTCATATTATGAAATCAAATCTTATGAAATAATTAATATTTTATCGTTTAAATCAACCTAAATTATAAAATACATTACTGTTTTCTTTTTCTCTTATAAAAGTCCTTGGGACAATAATCATACCGCTCAAGCAACGCTAGTCATGCATAGGTGTGGGACACCTATCATTTGACTGCTATTACAGAATCATTTTCTGCAAAAGATCGAGAAAGAAAAAGGATAAGACTGAAACTTTGAAAAGTTGGGAGCCAAGGACCTAGCTGGGTCCAGAGCCGACCTCTATTCAGCAACCAACTGAAATGCCGTGTCCAACTGAACACTGGAAAGGCTGCTCATATAACCCTCAGAAAATGTTTCCTCTGCACTGTCCAGCAGATTCTCCACTCCGCCCTCTCCATAAAACCACCCCCCCCCCTCTCCCTCCCTCACAATCTGCAGCAAATTAAGTCTAGAATTATTCTTGCCTACTTCTCTCATAGGAAAATGTCCTCGGATTCCGCTGAACCCAGGCGCCTAACCAAGCCCAACACCCCGGGAGCTGCCCCACCGGAACAAGAACAGCTCCCCTGTCCGCGATGTAACTCCCTCAACACCAAATTCTGCTATTACAATAACTACAATTCGTCTCAGCCCCGCCACTTCTGCAAATCCTGCCGCCGCTACTGGACCCACGGTGGCACCCTCCGCGACATCCCTGTCGGTGGTGCTACCCGCAAAAACGCTAAGCGATCTCGCACTGTTATCAGCGGTTCTTCCACTCCTGTCGTTATAACCACCGCGACCAGCAACACCGGCCATAATCTTCCGTTACCGGCCACCCCGATTTTGGTGCCCCTTATGGCCAATCAGGGCGCGTTCGGCGTTGGTGGTGGGAGTGACTTTGACGTGAAGGGTAACGGCACCGGAGGAATGTGCGGGAGTTTCACTTCTCTGTTGAACACGCAGGGTCCGGGTTTCCTGGCGCTGGGCGGGTTCGGAATCGGGCTTGGATCCGGGTTCGAGGATGTGAGTTTTGGGCCTGGAAGAGGAGTGTGGCCTTTTACTGGGGTGGGAGACGGTGCTGCTGGTCTTGGATCTAATGGTGCGGCTGCAACTGGGATGGCTAACACGTGGCAATTTGAGGGTGGAGAAACTGGGTTTGTTGGTGGTGATTGCTTTTCTTGGCCTGATCTTGCTATTTCCACCCCAGCAAATGGAGTCAAGTGATTTTCTTTCTTTCTTTTTTTTTTTTTTTTTTTTTTTGAGGGGGGGTTTGTTTTCTTAGAAATTAACTATGGTTTTTTATTTTCATCTTTCAGTAGAAGAATACTACAGTTTCAGAGGAATCGGTGACAGCTGAAAGTAAATTGTTTGCTATAGGAACTAGATTTTAGAAAAATGACTGTGTTTGGATGCTCTCTGCCATGTGATTTGGTTTTGCTTTTGTACCATTTTTTGTTTGGTGCCATGGCACATGATTATCAATGTGTAATTTCTGTACGCCTTGACCTTTTGTGGAGTTGCATGGGAAAATGCTAGCACTAATTGTTGTTGCTGAAAACCTTCAAGATCTTCCCTTAATGTATCTTCTCTCCAAGTGGATTTGCAAAATCTCAACGTTGGTCATCGAGGAGAAACTCCGATGCTTAAGTCAGAATTTTTTTAGTGAATCTTTTTTTTTTTTTATTCTGTGTATTTATAGTACTTTTTTGTGGGTTTTGTACATCATGACAAGGTATCCATGTGGCTCGTTCATACCCACGAGACTTAGTTTACATAATAATTATGATATGGTGTGCTTGATAGAGTAGATGTTTTAGGTGAACGTAATGTGCTTTAGCAGAGCAAACGCATTAAATGCGTGTGGTGTGTTCTGATCAGTGTTTTGAAACCTAGATTGGATCAGTCAGTTGAACCGATTCAATCGTCACCCGATCATAAACGAACCGAATACATACCTAGAACCAGTGAGGTGATCCAACTGCCCAAACCCGCCAAACCTGGTAAACCCTGAAAACCCGGTACACCGGGCAAGCCAAATTCAAATATGCCATTTTCAATTTTTTCAACCATTTTTTAATTCAATATTGATTTTATACCTTTTTTTTTTGTTTGATACCCTTTTTACCCTCCTCTACACATTACAACCCTCCTCTACACATTACAATTACATGGTAAAATACTTAAGAAAAACATAATTTGAATGCAAATCGGTAAAATCACTAAATTAGATCAAGAACCCTAAGCCTTCTTCAGTTCTTCTTCGACTCGTCTCGTCCTCCATCTCCAATTTACACTGCAGTTCTCCTTCTGCAGTTCTCTAAACTCTAATCCATTGATTCTTCGATTCCAAACAAATTGCAAAGAAGAAACCCGAAACAACGATTCCTTATCTCTTCCGTCTAGATTTGGAGTCACACTTCTTTTGTTTTTCATCAGATCTTCATCTTGTCACCATCGCCAAGGTCATTCTCCCTCTCGATCGGTCGATCCTCATACTTCTTTTGTTCTACATCAGATTTTCATCTTCTCACCGAGGTCGTTCTCTCTCTGGATCCTCTTCGACTTGAAAATTTTTCTTCTCCGGTTCTTTTCAGGTACAGAATCACTTTCAGGCTTCAGCTTGTTGCCTTGCTCTGCATTTCGTTGCTTTAGTTGATCCTTATACTTCTTTTGTTCTTCATCAGATTTTCCTCTTTCTCCCGAAGTCGTTCATTCTCTGGATCCTCTTCGACGATTCGACCTGAAATATTTCTTCTCTGGTTCCCTTCAAGTACAGAATAGTGAATCACTTTTAGCTTGCTACCTTGCTCTGCATTTCGTTGCTTTAATTTAGTAATTTTCTTATCTTTTTCCTGCTTATTTTGGATTGGGTTTTGCTCTGCATTTTGATTTTTGAGTTTATTTACAAAGTATATTTATTTATGTGAAAATATTGAATTTTATTTTGTCCATCCTGTTTTACGCTGAACTGATATCACATTGTATTGGATGGGACTGTTCTATCCACTGCTCTGTTCATTATCACTTCGGCTGGTTCTCTGTTTCACCAGCGAGGATTAATAATCTGTTTATGAGTGAATGAATTTTGTTTTAGTTTAGTAATACATTTTTGTATTTTGCATGTTCATCTGTAATTGATTGAATCTATTATTAAGTTTTGGTTTTGTTATTTATGAGAATTACCAAGATTTTTGATCGTTGAAATGGATTTAAATACTTATTTGCATATTAGTTTGTTTTTGGACTTATTTTTCATATATATATATATGTAAGATTTATTAATTTTGAGATTTATAGTTGTATGATACTTTTTTAGATGTATTTATTGAGTTTTTGGATTTTTTTTATATATTTATTGAGTTTTTGGATTTGTTTTTATGTGTTTATCGAGTTTTTGACTTGTGGTTGCTACAAATTGCAAGGAAAAAAAAAGAGAAAATTGCAGCAGAATGATGCCAGAAACACTGCACTTTTGTTTTTTGCATTTTGCCTTTGACCTGGTCGGTTGATCAATTGAACCGATCGAACCGATCAAACCAAAAATTGGTGAGCAAACCGATTTTATGTCCAGTTCGGGTTTTAAAACCTTGGTTCTGACGGAGCAGGTCCCTTGAGAGAGAAGACTCAGGTAAGGACAAATAATTGGGCAAGAGTATTTTTATTGTGGTTGCCATATACTTGTGATAGAGAGCCAAGGTACTGCAGACATTGAGCTCACTGAGGTGCAGCAGATATTGAGCTTTGCCTGTCTCATGTATATATGCCCTTACACTAATCTCATCCAAATTTTTGTGTTTATGGTTATTTTCGGGTGGACCTTATGATGACTATAAATTAAATCTCTTGCTCTATTTAGAAAAATAGATTACTACTGACTTCTTACATTGTTAGCAAGGGGTTAAATATCAATTTTAACCTTTTAAGTTTTAACTTTGGACATTTACATAATTTTAATTTATCAACTTTTTTAAATGTATTTTTTACTCATTTTACCAGTTAGTCCATTAAGTATATATTTATTGTATATAATTTTAATCTCTCAATTTTTTTTATGTATTTTTTTACTCATTTTATTGGTTAGTTTGTTAAGTATATTTATATATGTACATTTTTAGTTCCTAAATTTTAAGTTAAAGAATAAAAATT